CGAAATAAAAGATTTATCTGTGAATGGTTTTATTTATAATGGAAAATGTGTGAAAATTATTTTGAAAGGACTTATCTGTGATGCGCCTGCAAAATCATTTGTACTCAACATAAAAGGCCACAATGGCAAACATTCATGCCTTAGATGTTTAAATGTAGGTCAATGGATAAATAACAGAGTTTTTTTTCCAGAATTAGAATCTACTTTAAGAACTCATGATGACTTTATTACTTATTCCGACCAACTTTTTCATACTGGTGTAACCATACTATCAGAAATCCCAAGTTTTGATGTAGTTCTATCCACTCCATTTGACTACATGCACTCTATATGTATTGGGTTGATGAAAAAATTATTATTGTTTTGGACTGGAATTCACAAACATCATCAGTCATTACCATCAAATTTAATTTCAGTGTTGGATGAAAGATTAACTTCATTGAGTTCATATATACCACAAGAATTCCAAAGGAAACCAAATTCAAATAGTCGAAGGCATCCTTTGCGTGATGCAAACAGATGGAAAGCCACAGAGTTGAGGGAATGTCTTTTATACACAGGAGTAGTGATTTTCCGTGAAATTCTCAGTAAAGAAGTCTATGAACATTTTTTGGAATTATCTTTTGCTATAAGAATTTTATTAGCTTCAAATACAAATGAAACTTATGTAATTTATGCTGAAAAGTTGCTTAAACATTTTGTTAGCACATTCGCTTGTCTATATGGTGAAATGTATATGTCCCATAATGTTCATTCGGTTCTCCACTTAGTTGGGGATGTAAAAAAATTTGGATCATTGAACAATTTTTCTGCTTTTCCTTTCGAGAGTTTTATGCAACCATTAAAAAAAAAAATTAGGTCTGGCATGAAACCTTTGCAGCAATTGGCCAACCGTTTTGCTGAAAACCGTATTAATAATATACATTTTAAAAATAAATCATCGCAACAAAATGGTCCGATAAATGCTTATTGTAAATTAAAGGAAAGACCTCTTACCGCAAATTCCTGTGTACCACAATATACTGGATGGAAAACCAACAAGTTTACAATAAAGATAAACAATTCAGATAATTGTGTGAAAATTAAAAATGGTTCTTTAGTACTTCTAGAAAATATTGCAACATCTAAAATAGATAATAATAAAATATTAGTTGTAGGACGATGCTATGAAAAGATACAAGATTTTGTTAACACACCATGTTCATCACAGTTGTTGGATATTCATGAAGTGCGCCAATTGGGAAGTTTACAGTCATGGCCACTAGAAGAGGTTGTAAATAAATTAGTTAGATTACCTTTAAATGGTGATAAATTTGTTCTTATTCCATTTGCCCATGATACTTAGTAGAAACTACAAATGCTGATGATTATTTTTTTTTTTTGTAATTAAGGGAATTTTAGTTTATAATTTAAATATTATTACCTAGACATTATTTATAATATCTTTTGGTGTTGTATGCCATTCAGTATCTGCCACTCAAAATATTTTTACTAAAGCTATTTAAATAATTTTTGTGTTATTTTCAAATAAAATAAATGTTTTAACAAGGCTATTAAACTGGTAAAATTGGTTTATATTTTAAGTACATATCAAATGATATAAATTAAAATTGAAAATATATATCTTTAATCTTTATAGAGGTACTATTGTACTAATACAATGGTACATGCATAGAGTCATTAATCATTATATTTGTATAGGGTTTGGTCTGTTGTTGAATTTCTTGAGACACATGAAATTCAGCATGTGCCAAGCAATTGGATTCATATCAACAAAAAGAGTTTAAATTATGGCACTTGTTGGTTTCCCAATACTAAAACTAGTAAAAGAAATCCTAAATTTAACTCTACTCAAATTTCAAAAATGATTATAAACTGCATGGATCCAAATGAATGTGATGGTTTGTACTATGAAATAAAAATAATTGCTGGTCCTTTTGGTAAGTAATAGATTATTTTTGTAACTTTTTTTTTTGTATCTGGCAAATTAAAATGTTTACAGATGATGAAATGCAAGCCAGAAGAGTTCTAAAAGCTTTATCTGGCCCTGATGACAATGACGATAGTGACAAAGAAAGTGAAGAAAGTCCAAATACAAATTCTAGATTTATCAAGAAACTAAAAATGAGTGTAGATCAAGTGCCAACAAATGTTAAAGTTCCACATAAATTGCCCAGTCCACCTTTAATTAAAATGAAACAAATAAATCAGGAACTTATTGAAATTGGTACCTATAATGATTATTTATTAGTATTTATAAATAAACATTATGTTTTAAATTTTTACTATTCATATTTTATTTTAATGTTTTATCTTAAAAGAGTTAACATCTACACCAGTGAGCATTGCAACTTCTACAATATCATCTGAAAATATTCTTAAAGCCAATACAGAAGTTGATGAAACCTGCAGCAATGAAAAGACAAATGAGAATGATATTCACATCTTAACAACATTTTTAAATTCTACTGATGGAAACTATGAATTTTCTATTGATGATGACGATGAGGAAATAAAGAACATCATGAACATGTCCATACCTGTAGCATCCACATCCAAAAAGATTGATTTATTTGATATTACACCTTCACCTGGAATCCAAATATCACCTAATGACAATGATATGTCGTGTGATGATGAAAGAAGAGATTGTGATACAAAATATATGAGTAACTTAACAAAAAAAGTGTGTGATTCTTTTACATATCAGTCAACTAAAGGTAATGATAAAACCAAAATTATACTTGTAATTATTCAAATAATATTTTTACATTTTATTATGTGTAATTTTAATTGTATATTAGATTGCTGTTGCTCAAAATTAGATGAAGTTCTGAAGTGTTTAGAAATTCAGGAGGATAAACAAAAAAAAAGAGATGAGAAGATTATGACTCATTTGCTTATGATTAATGGAGTAAATGCTAGACTAAGTTCTACTCTTCAAAATAATTGTAAAAAGTTGGACACCATAATAGCAGCAGACAGTCGAGTACGGGCATTGGCAATGCCCACACCAAAATTGCCATCACCATTTATGGATCTCCTTCCAGTTATCAATATGGACAATCTTGAAACAATGGAATCCTTATTAAGCCAAAGTTCACCAGATATATTACTTTGTAGAGAAGAATTGGTAACAATGTTTTTTATGTTTCTTAAATCAATTATATATAAATTTAAATAATTAATATCATTATTATATAATAGTATTGCTTATAGTATTATAATTTAATATAAATACAATATAATTAAATTCAAAAATATGTTAGGTAGGTACTTATATTTATATAATGATTTACATTTATTAGAAATCATACATTCTTTTGAAAGTGGGGAAATTATCATTAAGTTCAAGCATACGTGGTGCCATGGATATCTTATTTCTGCCAAATGTTCTATCTCAATATAGTTACAAAGGGAAAACCAAAAAAATTTCATGAACTGAATCTCTTTTCATTGATTTATGGTAAATATATTATCCTACATTATAAAACAAAATTTAAAATTAATGAAGTATTTTACTTATTGCAGAGACATTATCTGGATTTATTTTAACTCCGGACGATGAAGCAACTTTTCATAAAGTTTGTGACAATTATCTCCGCCATTCGTTGAATCGTATTGAAAAAATAATATAGTCCAGTTTCTTTTTGTTACAAAGTCACATAATATATTATGTTCTATATTAAAATGCTAATAATTTATAATGTATAATAATGTATTTTTTTTTATCACATACAAGTTTTCTATTTTTTTTTTTTTTTAATATTTTCTATATTGTATAACCTAGGTAGGTACAATGAAATATATTATCTAATTTATAATAATATGTTATTTTTTATTAATTATAATAATATGTTGAATGTTTATTCTTACTTTTTTTTTTATATAATATATTATATTATTAAGTTCTTTATTAAAATTTTAATATTGTGATAATAATATAGCTGGTTACTTATTTTTTTTATTAAAAGTTTTTATACAAATGTACAATTAAATATAGGTATTATCTTATTTATAATAATATGTTCTTTTTTATTAATTATAATAACATGTTGAATGTTTATACTTACATTTTTTCTTATATAATATATAATATTATTATGTTCTTTATTAAAATCTTAATATTGTGATAATAATATAGGTACTTATTTTTTTTATTAAAAGTTTTAATACAAATGTACAATTAAATATATTATCTCATTTATAATAATATGTTCTTTTTTATAAATTATAATAACATGTTGAATGTTTATACTTACATTTTTTCTTTATATACCTAATATATTATATTATTAAGTTCTTTATTAAAATCTTAATATTGTGATAATAATATAGGTACTTATTTTTTTTATTAAAAGTTTTAATACAAATGTACAATTAAATATATTATCTCATTTATAATAATATGTTCTTTTTTATAAATTATAATAACATGTTGAAATTCAGTGGCGTAACTGAGAATGTTTGATGGTGGGGATCAAAATAAATTTGTAGGGTAAACTTGTGGGGGCCTTTGCCCCCACGGCCCACACCCCCTTATCTATATTTTGTATAATTTAATAACTCAACACATCTAAATATAATCATTGTATATTACATAACATTATACATTTACAAATATGTTTTAAAATGTTTTAATATTTTAATAAACTCATTTAAATGTTTTATAATAATTAATATGACATAACTAATAGTTATTGAATAAACTGCAGTGACTGCAATTATATTTTTAATAGGTACTTTTTTTAACTGGTGTTAATTATTTAATTTTGCATAATTTTAGCGCGGGTTGTAATGCTAATTATAATAAGTTGAATACGTCATACATAATATTTAAACATTTAATTCCGGGTCTAATAATGTTTAGTACCTATTTTAAATTGTAATACTTACGTCAGGCCCAGGCTTCTTTTTAAAAAAATTCAAAAAAGTACTGCTAGTTGCTGGTAATTTTCTTTTTTTTTTTGATCCATTTTGCTTTTAGCTTATAAAAATGTAACTGACAGTGTGAATATGAGAGAATGACACGGTGTGTATACCTAGTACCTACTGTGTTAGTACACTATATTGTTTCCTGTTTATACGTAATCGCAATAATCAATGTAGATAGGTACTTTGTGTCGACGCGCGTTCTTAGTACCTACTACCTATCTATGGCTATTATTCGTTCTACGAAATGTAAATCTTAGTTACATTTTTATTATTAGATTATGTTTATGGAATGATGGTTTTTCCCATTATCGGATTACTTACCATCTATAATCTATTCAAAATTAGGTACAGGGCAAGGCACCCAATGTTTATTAATAAATAAGAATTAAAATGAATCAGACCATTTATTTTGAAATCATGCTTATCGTTAATGGGTAAATATTTATATACGGGTAATATTTAAGGATACTCAACTTCTAAACTTTTTTTTTTTTAGTTTCGTAATAATTTATAAGTTTTTATTTGAACTATTTGTAGGTATAAGACAATATATAAATACATCTCATTGGGGGGGATCTATCCCCCATATCCCCCCCCCCGTAATTACGCCCCTGTGTTGAATGTTTATACTTACATTTTTTCTTACATAATATTATAAAATGTTCTACTTCAAAATTATAATATTGTTATAATAATGTAACTATTTTTTTATACCTAACATACAAGTTTTTTATTTTTTTTTTTTTAAATATGGATATATTTGAGTTTTAAGAAATTTAAATATACTTAAATGTAACATCTTATAATATAAACTGTTTAATGTTATTTAAATAACAATGATCAAAAAGATTTAAATACTATAGAATCGCCACATTAACGTATCTAAGATAGTGGCCCGGTAGGTAGGAATTAGGATTACCAATGTATAGGTTGTTTAGGGGTTCCTGGTTCGAATTCGACATCTCGCGAAAAAAAATTTGCGTTTTTAAGTTTTTTGTTTATTTTTGTCACGGTATGTGCACGGTATTTTTCAACACTCCTACACGGTTACGGCACTGTACCTTTGTTCACTCTCGCACGGTTAGAACACCGACCCTAGTCTGACAAATGAACTATAATTTTAGTTGCACGCTAAAACGGTTCCTGAACCGACTATTGAGTTCTATCGGCACGGTGCTTCCCATGTAAAAAATCGGTATTAATTTTGATCAAAAACACAGTGCTGTGCACCGTTATAGCACGGTAACAAAAACCTAAAAATTGATGTAGGGCACCCAATGTGCACCAAAATTGTTACTCGGGAAGGCTTTACCGTGTTGGTGATTATCAGTTTGTATGATTTTAGTTTTTTGTGGAAGTCGGCGCGGTTCGATTGGTACCGGTTTGAAGTCAGTACGACTACAGGTTGGG